TGTCCATCGAGGCGCTTATTGTCAGAAAGCAATCCAAAAAAAGGGGGACAGGGGAGAAGAAAAAGAAGGAAACGAAAAAAAGGGGGAAAGGAAAATGAAAAAAGGAAAAAAAAGGCAAAAAAGAAAAAAGAAAAAAGAAAAAGAAAGAAGAAAAAAGAAAAAAGGGGAAAAAAACAAGGGAAAAGAAAGGAGGAGAATGAGAACAGGGGGAAGGGGGGCTAGGGGGGCTCCATTCTCGCAGGGGTAGCTCTCCTACTGACCACCTTCCGATCCCTGTTCGCTCGTCCAGCCATCGCCCGCAAAGTCATGTGCGCGTGTGTGTGTGTGTGTGTGTGTGTGTGTGTGTCCCACCCCGTTCCCTCCAGGGGATGTCTGGGTCCGAGGGGGACGGCTGTCCGGAGAACAGCCGGCCCCTTAGGACCAGCCATCCCCCGGACACCGAACACACACACGCATTCACACACCTACACAGCCACAGACAAATAAACGTCGGTCAGTCCGTCAATCCATAGAGATTAGTCAGGGCCTCCTTAACCACATGCACAGACAGTTTTCCCGGCTGGTAGAGGTGGGCATTCCACAAGGTCTTCTTAACCACTCTCCAACATGCATCGCTGGCAAAGCCGTTCTCCACCATCGCTGCGACCACCTTGGCGATCTCATTGGCAGCGTCCTCTAGATTCGAACATAGCATGAGTATCTGCGCAACTTGCGCAGTGATGATCTGAAGCGATTGCTTGACAGACCTGTTGGACTTGTATTTGACAAACCTGCACGGAGAAAATCCCAGCCCGCTGCGTTTGTCATGTCTGGTGGTTGCATAGGCGCCTGTAATTGGCGAGGTGACTATGATGGTGAGACTAAGGAAGTTGGCGATGCGCCCGCTTTCCTCTTCCTTCAGCGCCGTGTTCTCTCTTATTTCGATGTAGTCCTCCGAATAGATCCAGCACGGGTCCTCCGCCGCTCTCTCGCCTTTGTTGCGCAGGAAGCTACTGATGGCGGCGTTGTTGACCGCCCCCAAGTCATCAATATGCCTGAATGTGCTATCAAAGCACGGTATCAGGTGGGCATTCCCTGTGTCCGCCAACCTCATCATGGCGTGATATTCATACTTGAAAAAGTATATATCACACCAGATTGGGGAACAGGCCAGCCCCATCGGAATCCCCCTCACCTGCCTCCAAACGTAGTCCCCCATGCGCAGTATGTTGTTGCCGATACACCAATCCGAGAGCCAGCAGATGTCTCGTTCCCTGAACAGTAGTGTGCCCTCCTCTTCCGGTTGCCCATCGTCCACCCATGAAGGCCAAATCCCACCGTGCTGTCCAAATGTGATACGAATGGCATGGCAGGAACTTCTCTCCCTCCGGATTTGCATGGCGCATTGTACGTAGAACCTGACCGCAGCAAGAAGACTTTCCTCCAATCCGTTTGTGGGGATAGCTTCGAAGCATCTGGTTATGTCGGCTGTGAACACCGAGTAGATCTCTTCCGGAAGGTTCGCATGGAGTTCGCCCACCGAGGCTATGGCCCACCAGAGATTCGGTCTGACGCCACAACGCTCCTCCACCTCCAGGCTCCTCTCTTGACAGAAGGTCTGTGCCAGCGGGAGCATGAACCTCAGCAGACACGCGCAGACTTCCGTGACCGGTGAGATGATGGTATTGGCGGTGTTCGTGATCCATCGGAACGTTCCCTTGTGCGCCTTGAGAACTGTTATGAGGTATGGGAGTGCCGCCGACGCAATGGGGAGCGCAGGCAGCGCAAAGAGCTCATCGCGTATCCGCGCGATGACGGCCGCTGGTGGCGCATTGATGCTGGCAAATTCCGGTCCAGACAGCCTCTGGAATGCAAGCTTCTGCATGAAGTTCTTGCAGACAAAGGCCGGAGTGTTGGGCGCCTTGTCCGTGGGGCAGATAAGGAATCTGGCGGTTAAGAAGTCCAATTACCTTTTGACAGTCGGGTGCTCGAATGGCTCAGCGACAGCATGCCAGTGCGCAGCGCGATACTTTTCCATCTTCGTCCTCGCCTTCTTCATGATGACTCTTCGCAGGAATGATCTGGTAGACACATTAAGGTCGTTTAGCTCCATGACTCGTGCGAACAGCTCGTCCACACAGTTCCCTAGTTCGACGCTCGCTTCCTCCACATCCAGGGCCATGCATGGAATATGGTTGAGGCCGGCTCCGATGATGCCTTGTAGCAGCAGGTTATTGGTAATTGACGTGTCCATCGTAATGACGTGCGTGCAGCCCTCACTCTCGAGCAACTCTATTGACCAGTTGCTGCGCATGTCCATGTATCTTTGCGTCCTGCAGGGGCATTGATCGGGATGGTAGCTCTCCATCCATTGTGCCACGTCGAATTCGCAATACGTCTCCGCTGGTCTGCACAGTCTGGAGGCTATCTTCGGATTGTAGGTCCACCCGATCCTGACGCGCTCTAGCCATGTTGCCGTGCCATCCCCGATTACCTTGCTAAGAACCTCATTCACCAACCTCCTGACAGAAAGAGGCTCCATCACGCGGCTGGTGTACTTCAGATGCAAGAACGTGTCGCAGTCGAGTTTCTGTCTCTTCCAGGCCTTCCTGCCGTTAGGAAGCGTGATCATCTGGCCAGGAGCATTCAGCCACTCGTCCGGATCCTGCGCATCAATCCACAATGGTACAGGACAAAGAGTATGTGTCGGGGGGGGTAAAAAAGAAGGGGGGGGGCGCCGTGGTGCAGTGCTGTACTAGTATGAAAAAATCGATCGGCTATGACGTCGTAAAAACCGGCCAGGGCAGCGAATCGAGAAGTAATCCGAAAAATACCCGGAAGTGTGCCGGTGGGTGGGGGAGAGAGAGAAAAAAAGTTGCGGAAGAGGGGGGAGAGAGAGAGAGAGAGAAAGAATGGGAGTGAAAGAGACAGAGAGATAGAGACGCAGGGGGTGGCATTGCCAGCCTTAGGCCCTCGCTGAGCGCCTGCTGGTGATAGTGTCGCCCCTGCCCCTGCCTCTCCCTGTGGTGCCCTTCCTGTTTCTTCTTCGGGGCTGGGTGAGCGTTGACTGGGCGGAATCGCCTGGCGAAATGTGGATTACCGGTGGGGGGGTGAGGCCCCGGATGATCATCAGGGGGGGTTGCGCCGAGGGGTGCGGCGAGGTAAGGACAGGCATCCAGGTGGTCGATGGGGGCGGTTGCTGGCATGCTGATGGGGGTATGCTGGCAGCATGGTTCCCCGGTACGGGTACGCCTCCTGGTGGGTCGATGCCGGCGGCTACGGCCACGGTCTGCTGCTGGGGGGGAGGAGGAGGAGGCTGAGGAGGGGGAGGAGGAGGAGGAGGCGAAGTGGGAGGGGGATTGTTTGCAGGCTGGGTTCTCCTAAAGTTGAGGGTGGTCTGTCCGTGGATCTGTGGCATGCCGCCCCGCTTCCGTGCCGCAGCCCGAGGAGAGCTGAGCGGGATCCTCGAGGGTCTGTCAGGAATCCGAGTGGGGAGCATGATGCGTGCCAGCATGGCGGGGATCGGGTAGCTCCAGAGTCGGTCTTCCTTGAGCACTCCTTCCGCGTTTAATGTAACATCCGCCTCCAATTCCTTCACGATTCCCATCATCAGATCCCTGATAAAGTGGAATCCGATGGAGGCCAGCACCCCGTCCCTCCAAGTGGTGCGCAAATAGTGAATGAGCATCGAGGTGCGTACTTTGATCGAGGACAGGGTTGGGAACAAGACATCAGGATGTGCCAATAGGAACCAGATAGCGTGATCGAACCAGAGGGGGGTGTCCCCGCAATCCTTGTTTCTCTCTTTTTTGCATTTACACTTTAAGTACGGTCTCCCTACACTCCAGATCTTCCTGAGCGTCCTAAGGTCAGTCTTCCCATCTGTCTAATACCCTTCTGCCACATCCCCGAGTTAGTCTCTCCACACTTATCCGGGTCTAGGTCGCGCATAGGGGGAAACTTAAGGTCCTGCGGATCCAGCGGGGTGACCTTCCCACAATACTTCAGTTTCCCTTTCAGTATCTGTGCCCTACACTGCTTGACCTGCTCATCACTAACGCCCCCCAGGAATTGAAGCGCTCGGACGGAGATAGGTGCAAGATGGTTGAATGTGTCCATCTTCCAGATTGCGTGCCTATGCCCCGTGGAGGTGTGCTCAACCCAGCGCGCGGATGCCAGAGGGGCAAAGGTCGTGTACTGATCGTGTTCGGAAGCATCCGTGCTGCCACGCCCTGTCATGAGTGGGGAGTCCTGCATGGCTGCTGTAATGGCGGCAATCGCCAGTTCCATCTCATCTCTCTCCTCCTCTTCAATTGCGAGACCGTCACATCGTGTCGCGGGGGTGCCCTGGGAGTTGGGGGAGCCGTGGGGGTGTACTACGGGCACCCGTCCCTCTAGGTGCGAATCATCTATCCCCCATATATTGAGGAAAATTTGCTCAATCTTTGTCGTTCTACCCCCTAATTCTCTGCACTCCTTTGCGTATTCGTGTTTCCTAAGTTCGAGCTTCTCACAGAGGGTTCCAAGTTCAACCTCGAAATCTTCCCTACTACGCTCCCATGCCCCAGCAAGGACGGCGAGATCGCTAAAAGCTAACATCTCAAAGAAGCGAGGGTAATTGTCGGAATCCCACTTCGTTTTGATCGCAAAAATGACCTCAGGATTGACACATGTGAACAGTGCCTGCGTAGGCCTGGCGGGGGGCGCGCACTCCTTCAGCCAGGGGAAGCGGTGTGTGATCTCGTTCCACCAGCCCCCCGAAAACGACTCCTTGGGCGGAGGCTGCGATCGAGGCGGGTGGCGTTGGGAAGGTCCGATACACGAGGAGGGTGTCCGGCCGGTAATATCTGTGCGAAAGATTTTTTGACGCGTAGATTAAGAGGAGTCGGAGAAGAAAAAGAAGAAGAGTGCGTGATGGGAGGAGAGGTGCGGATGTTGTGTGCAGGGTCCATAGTGAAGTGATAGTGGGTGGGGGCAGAAGGAGAGGGGGAAAAAAGGACGGGGAATGGGTTCATTGGGGAAGAATAAGGGATTGGGTATGCGACGATTGGGAACACAACACGGGAAGCACAATACCACACACATAATAGGTTAACAAGAATATTCGACACAGGCAGAGACGGGGCAGGCAACAGGCAGACACACCTCTTCCTTTTCCTAGCTTTCGCAACTTTTACCACAAATATCGCAGCTCCATTTCTCCTATTCTCAACAAGTCCTCAGTCGTCACCCTTTCAAACATTCAGACATCCTCAGGCTTACCCTATGGCCACAACCATCACCCTGATCCACGCGACGGCGCATAAGAAGCGCCACGATAGGGGCCTCACAATGCGGTCGGGGAGGGCACCCCCCAACAGCGATCGAGGATATTCGTCCTCCTAAGTGTGTAGCATGTGTGTGTCACATGAGAGACGTATGGGTACGACAGTTCATATCCGTACAGCTCCGACGTCAACCTGTCGGCACACTGCGGGCAAAAAACAAGGCGCGGAGGCGATTTCAAACGCGGCAGTGTAAAGCCCGTCCGTATGTCCATTTGTGATACGGGCGAATAGGGCCGTTTTTGTCGAAGGAGGGTGAGCAGGCGACAGTAGCGCGGGACGAAAGCGAGAAGGGTCGGCGATGGGGGTCTTTTGCCTAGGGCGCATTCACAGACTGACCAGTGTTCACAAATAGCCACCTTATCAATCGA